ATTTTTCTCTTTTATTAGTGTAGATATTTATTCTACCTTACCCATCCCCATCATTTTTTAATCTCTTAAATTAGAAAAAGAATCTCACGCCCGGTCGGCATGGCTCAGTGTTTAAGCATCGACCTATGAGTCAGGAGGTCACGGTTTGATTCCCAGTTGGGGGCTCGACTCCAGTGGGGGGATGTGCAGCAGGTGGCCTATCGATCGATGATTCTCTCATCATTGATATTTTATGTCTCTCTCCCTCTCCCTTCCTCTCTGAAATCAATAAAAATATATTTTTTTAAAAAAGAATCTGATGAGCTACCTTTCTCAGACTTTAAATATGCTACTTATTTTTATTATTGCTTGACTGGATCTTGATTCTGAGTAGGCAGTTACATTGGGTCTAGAAAGAAATTTTTAAAACCTTATTTTTTTTCTAAAATATGCCCATAATTTCCTAGATTTTGAATTATTGAGACGTAAACAACCATAAAAATCTATAAGGAATGTCATAGATCAGGCATGATCTTCTGTTGAACCAAAGGCAAACTGTGAGAATAGAATTGTGATTACTGTAGCGTGTTTGTTGTATATCATTAATATTGACAAGCAGCATCAAGTTCGTAGCATTGTCTAAAATGTTTTTCAAGTTAGATTGATACTTTTTCATATTGGAAATAAAGCAGGTAGGAAATTTTTATTTCATACTCTATTTTTTATTTAAGTATTTTATACTCGATTTTTTGTTTAAAAGTTTAATCCCACCATATCTTATTAACATTTTGCTCAGATAGTTAACATTTGTTCTTGGGTAGATGTTATATAATTACTCATTTCAGTGATCCATACTCTTTGAAATACTGAGTATTTGAGAATTTTGACCTCAGATCTGTAAACTAGTATCAGGTTTGAAAGAATAAGCTGGGAGAGAAAAAGGACTTTGATGCCTGGAAAGAGTTTGATATAGTACTGTGTGTGTGCGCGCATGCGCATGTGCATGCACACTTAAATTTAGCTGTGACGATATATTATTTAAATAATGGTCTGTGTACTATGTAGGTTCATTTTCATTGAGTAGAGAGACATTAAATATTTAGGTATCCAGTTTATCTTCTCTTGCTGTTGGGAAATGCTTGATTTAAAAGAGGTTGATTTTGATAATTCAGCAATTTTCAGAGATTTTAATATGTTAACACGCTCATCCATGGGCTGTGAAATGAGGATGAATAATGAAGTTTGCATAATTTATAAAATTAAGTAATTATGAAATTTTTTCCATAGTGCCTATTTTAGGATTAGTATTTTAAGGCACATGTTTTCAGAACATAATACAGTACTGGCTTTCTCATCGTTTATTTAAATTCACTGCATATTCATTCTTCATCTACTTGTGTCAAACACTGCATTAGAGACACCATCCTAGCTGCCAAGGAGTTGATAGTCAAATTATATAGAGATATAATTTCCTGTCCTCCTACAAACAGCCAGGAGCGTTTTCCTTTTGACTCTCAGAATGAAAACCAAATTAGGTAAAGGCTAGAATGTCCCAGTAGAACAGGTTGTTGTTGTTGTTGTTTTTTGCTGTAGAAGAAAATTTAAACATTTTTATGTAGATGCAAAAATGTGATTTATGTTTTTCTACATATAAGATGTCATTTTCTGCTTCAATATCTTTGCTATTGTCCCCAGTGAAGAATGCCCATCTTTGTGGTCCTCATTTCAGATTCATTCAGTGAAATCAATAGTGTTTGAGAAAACAAGATCCAAGATCTTTCTTTGATTCCACTTTCCTCTCCTTCCTATTATAAAATTTTATGTATTTGTATTTCACTGATGACCTTATATTGCCTTTGTTAAAACAATTTTTTACTTGTCTAGCTCTACATATTGAACTATATGTATATCTCAAACACCTTGTTGTCCCTACAAAACCTTGGATAATATATATCTAATTAGGAGTTTATACCTTTTGACCACCGTCATCCAGTTCTCCCTCAGCACTCCTCTCCCTCCCCGCGGCCCTCCCCACCCCCAGGCTCATCTCTGGTAACCACAAATCTAGTCTTTTTTTCTATGAATTTTTTTCTTTTTGAAGATTCCATATGAAAGTGTAATCATAACAGTATTTGCCTTTCTCTGTCTAACTTTGCCAGGTAAAAGGGACATGTGCTAAATTTGGATAAATGCTGCCAAGTCATTCTCTAAATAAGTGGCAGAATACAACACACTAGGTGTTAGAATGCCACTGCTTTTACTGGTGAAAATCTACCAGTAATTATGTCTTTTGTTGTTGTTGTTCATCATCACCCGAGGATATCTTTCCATTGATTTTTAGAGAGAGAGAAAGACAGAGGGAAACATCGATGTGAGAGAAACACATCGATTGGTTGCCTCCTGAACAGGGCCCGGCTGGGCAGGAGCCTGCAACCAAGGTATGTGCCCTTGCTGGAATTGAACCTGGGACCCTTCAATCCTCAGGCCGATGCTCTATCCACTGAGCCAAATCGGCTAGGGGGAATGTGTCTTACAACTTCTCTGAACCTACTGCTATTTGCCATAACTTCAATCATAAAAATCCTAACTTTTAAAATAAGTACATGTTTCTTATTTCCTCCCTTACCTTCCACCCACCTAAAATATGCAACAGTAAAATACATGAGCTCAGTTTACTCTAAGTAATTGCTTACTGCGTGCTACATAAAGGCAAGAGCTTTTGTCTTTTTTGTTCATTATTATATCTGTTGTTCCTAGAGAAGTGCTTGGCATTTGTCATATAGTAAAGTTTTGTAAAAACTAATGAGTGTAGTTAAAATAAAAGTCTTTCCTCATTCATTTTTTTTCTCTAGTGTTTTTAGAAAGTACAAGTAATTGGCTGTAATCTTTCTGTGGAATAATTTTTTAAAAATATATTTTATTGATTTTTTACAGAGAAGAAGGGACAGGGATAGAGAGTTAGAAACATCAATGAGAGAGAAACATCGAACAGCTGCCTCCTGCACACCTCCTACTGGGGATGTGCCCACAACCAAGGTACATGCCTTTGACCGGAATCGAACCTGGGACCCTTGAGTCCGCAGGCCGATGCTCTACCACTTTGCCAAACCAGTTAAGGCATTTTTGTGGGATAATTTATTCATTAATGAATTGTTCTAAAATAGAAGTTATTGCTTTTGGGGATTGTTTTCTTTTTATTTCAATAAACTTTTAGGCTATAGGAGCAAGGTAGTTTTAACTTCTGAAAATAGAGCTCTTTGTCATGTTCTTTTTTAAAAAATATGTTTTTATTGATTTTTAGAGATTGAGGAAGAGAGAGGGAGAAATAGAAACATTGATGAGAGAGAAACATCACATAAATTGGCTGCCTCCTGCATGATCCCTGCTGGGGATCGAGCCAGCAACTGAGCCATGTGCCTTGACTGGGAATCAAACCAGTGACCTCTTGGGCCATGGTTTGATATTCAACCACTGCGCCACACTGGCCAGACCCATGTTTATGTTTACACACACCCCTCACTTCCAATTAGGATTTTTCTCTTCGGTATTTATTTAAATATATTGCTTAAGGAAGAGTTATAGGACAGAACCTTCTAGCTGTGTCAAAATCACATGAAATATAATTTTGGAATTAAATAAGTCTGGAGACTTTGTCATACTTAAAATTTGTTCCTCTTTAATTCTCCTTATTATGCATAATGAAATTGAAAGTGCTTTCTTAAAGCAGGTTAAGTTTAGCACATTCTCTTAATATAATCTGTAAGTTAGTGCCTATACAAGTTACCTGAAATGCTATATGTCCTTTAACAAAGCAATTAAAGATTTTTAATTTCTCTTAAAGGCAGGATCCACAGCACCATTGTTCATTGACCAGTCAGAAGAACCTGAGTCAAATGCAGCAGATGGCATAGAATTATTTGAAGATAGTCAGCTAAACAGCCGCTCCAAAGCAATAGCATCAAAAACCAAAGAGATTGAACAGGTGAGAATCCAGTCGTCTTAAGGTTCATAATCTTTTGTTCATGTCACTTTACACATGGTATTTACAGTAAATAGTTATTGAATAAATAGATTTCATTTTGTCCTTTCCCACTTGTGACTCTGAAATAATTTTAAAAATTATAAAAATTGTTTGATTTGATTTCACAGTAATTTTGGTCAGTTTGGTCCCTGGCCCTGTTTACTTGTTTATTTTTTTAAAGCAAGCTTCCTTTTTAGAGAATATTAATATTCTAGTTAGTATGGAGAAATTTAAAAACTAATAAAAGTAATAGGAATGGGCTAAAAGAAATATATCAAATGTTAGTAAATTTTTTTGAATATTGGGATTAGAGACATTTCTTATGTTTTTCATTATACTTTTAAGCATTTTTTCACATATTAAAGAAAAATGAATGATAGCTCTTTAAATCTAATTTTAATGATGTCCTTCCTGAAAGTTAGGATCTTGTTTTTGATAGATTAAATAGTTTGCTTAAGGCATAGTTATAGGACAAAAACTCTGGTGTGAAATAAAATTTTGGAATGGAAAATGCCTAGAGGCTTTGCTTTACCAAAGATTAAAAAAAGTAGCAATCATTGTCTTTTTAATCCTCCTCACTGTGCTCATAATACACATAGCAAAATTTAAAGTGTTTCATTTTGGAAATATTGCCTGCCTCATAGGGTATTATCACTTTGTGAGGATTAAATGAATAAACTGTTAAAGGGCTTTATAAAATGTAACATATTATACAAGCTGTTTTTAAAAAATATATGTTTTTATTGATTTTAGAGAGAGGAAGTGGGAGAGAGAGCGAGGGAGAGAGAAAGAGAGGTTAGAGAAAAATATGATTGGTTGCCTCCTGTACATGACCTGACTGGAGACCAAACCCAAAACCTGGTAAGTGCCCTGACTATGAATTGAACTGGTGACCGTTTGGTGCGCAGGATGATGCTTAACCAACTGAGCCACATAGGCCGGGGCACAAGAGTTTGTTTTTGCTGTTTCTCTTCACTGTCTTGAGTCAATGTCATTATATTGTTACTAGAGGCCCGGTGCACGAATTCGTGCACTGGTGGGGTCCCTTGGCCTGGCCTGCAGGGATCGGGCTGAAACCAGCTCTCTGATATCCCCTGAGGGGTCCTGGATTGTGAGATGGCGCAGGCCAGGCCGAGGGACCCCACTAGTGCACGAATCCGTGCACTGAGCCTCTAGTATGCATATAAGATCTTTGGTTAATCTCTTCCCGCCCTCCCCCCTTCCCTCTTTCCTCTGAATTCATCAGTCTGTTCCATGTTTCCATGTCTGTGGTTTCCACTCCTTCGCTGAGCATCTGCCCCCTGGTGGTCAGTGCGCGTCATAGCTACTGGTCGGTTGGCCAAACAGTTGGCCAGTCACTTAGGCTATATATACACTTCTAAAAACTATTGGAAATTTGGAACAAAATTAATCTTTTCTCAAGATGCTGTTCAATTCCACAAAAAGTTAAGTCTATCTCCCTTGGTTGGATAAGAGAAGATCTTAACCAAATCCTAGATGTGATTGTGAAGCTTATATTGATATCACCCTAATGGCTAAAGTTAAGAACATGGATAGGAAATTTGCCACGTAAACCAGTAGGATTTAAAAATGGAGATGGTCAGCAGTATCAGATGCTTGGAGGAATATAAGGATAATGGAGACTGGGAAAATTTTGTTTAATTTGGTGAAGTGAAGATGGATTGGTGCCTTTGAAGATATCAATTAAATGAAAGCATAAATAAAAGGTTTGGTCTGGCCTGTGTGGCTCAGGATTGAGTGTTGGCCCATGAACCAGGTCACAGATTGATTCCTGGGCATGGCATATATAACTGGGTTTGGGGCTCAAACCCTAGTAGGGGGTATGCAGGAGGCAGCTGATTGATGATTCTCTCTCATCATTGATGTTTCTCTCTCCCTCTGCCTTCCTCTCTGAAATCAATAAAAACATATTTTTAAAAAATTAAAGGCTAACTCACAGGATTTATCTTTAATATGAATATGAATTTCATTACCCTATATAAAATTACTGCCCTCTGTCTTTTTACTCTGATTTATTTTTCTTTGTAGCTTTTTTTGCCACTTGACATATGTTTTTATTTGTTTGCTTGTCTCCCTGCACCATAATGAAACTTCATGAGAGCAAGAACCTTTTGTTTACTGCTTTATCTCCATTACATAGAACAGTCATTAGCATGTAGTGGGCTCTTAAGAAATATTTCTTTTATAGATGATGGATGGAGTTATAAACCTAGAAGTGACCTTTGAAATACTTTCTGAGTCACTTGAAATCACACTACATCTTAACTTGACCACCTAACAGAGTGCCTAGGCCCAGCACTTAGTATAAGTGCTTGATAATGTTTGTTGAATGAATGATTTAATATTATTTTTTCCACCCGATTTGCTGTTCTTTAAAGGAGAAATTCTCTTAAGAATATCACTGGTTGCAAAACTTGACTTAAATAACAGGAGGAGATTATTATTTTAGGTTGTGGCTTATTAATATCTGTACTATCGCATCTTGTTATTATTCATAGTTGATCTATTTGATCTTGAAAAGGTGGGTTACTAGTCAGATGTAGAGGCTAGCTTAGCAGTACACACAAAATTATTTAATATGAAACCAGTTTTTATAGTACTTTTTAGATACCTATATGTGCCGGGGTCCAACCCCAGCAGGTCCAGGGGTTCCCAAAGTGTAGACGGAGTCGGCAAAGAAGGAATGACACGGAGACAGCGTTCAGTTGATCAGCAGCCTGGCCAGGATCTCCAGCCAAGTTCTGGTCTGGATCTCCAGAGAAGTTCTGCCATTTATTGTCTTGTTACATCCGTATTTATACCAGTTGATTTTAATCCTGTCAATTTCTATTACAAAGGTTAGGGCGTTTCTTATCTCCATTCCAGGGAGTAAAGATTATGTAGCTTAAGCATGATTGTTTGTAGTTAAAGTGATTAACTACCCGCCTGGCACTTAGTTAAGGCGTTTCATCCCCTCCCTGACTTCAGGGAAAAATCCCTATCTGGGGAAACAACCTTTCTCGGAGAGGTGACCTTGGTTAAAATACACAGCGCTAAGGGGAGCAAACATATTAAGAACAGTATGCTATATACGCCAGGTCCCTTGAAACATATGCTGTGCAGATGTTTCTTTCCTGCAGCGACTGTGTCAAGCAGCAAGGATGGACCGGCTTCCGGCATATATGTGTTTGACCTAGAGGGCTGACTGTATCTCTGTTTTTAGCTGCCTATTGTTCAAACACATGAAACATCTGATACTAAAGTATATTGAGATTATTATAGCAAAGACAGATGACCTAAAGAAGGAAAAATAAGTCTAAAAGGACATTGCCATATTCTAATGTTAATAGAGAAGTAAAACAGTTATTAGAAGTATTATAAAATAGAAAAATTAATGATGTTATATATTGGAATTATATATCTACTATGTTTTTGCTAGGGTGCTTCCCCCCCCCCCCAAATATATTGGCAAGAAAAACCAGAAGTCTCCCAAATGTTAGATAGCTATCAAATAATGATATAATTATTTTATAAATTTGTGTCTAAAATTAAGTGACTTGTAAAAATTAAAAAAAAATTAAAAAAGTAGTTTTAAGGGGATTATTCTCAATTTTTTCCATTTCTAGCTTTTGCATATTTTATTTTTAGGTATTACATACCCAATGGATAGAATATTATAAAGGCTTGAGAAAGCTAGATGGTAGTTACACAGCTGTCCAGAAGTTATTATTTACATTTTTTCATATACTTAAGATATTTTGAAAAACAGTATAATAGCCCCAAACAATCAAGCTTAGAAAAGTGTACAAATATAAATATTGGTGTAATACTCAGCTGCTTTTTCTTTCTGTTATGTCAAGTGTAATGTGTTCAGATGTCTTGTAAAGATAAATGACCACATACAGTGTTTTGAAGGTTTATAGAGATCAGGTCCTTCAGCCCTTGAGTTCCAAGAAAGTCATTAACTTGAGGTAGTATTATGGTATAAAATAAATCTGTAGGCCAAAATTTGGTATAATTTAAAGTGCCTATAAATGTGATTTGATGTTTAAGGACATGCATGTGGAGACAGATTGTATCAGAATCGTGTCTATGAGGAATTAGATTCATATCCTTTGCCATCTCATCCCTGGGAGTATAAAAATTTGGTAGGGTTGAGGGTGCAGGTACTTTTTGAAAAAGTTCCCAAGGTCATGGTCAGTAATGGTAGAGAAGCACTGGTCTCAAATCCTTGAGCCAGAAGACATCAAGTTGGATTTCTGAATGTTGTGTTGCTAGAGATCATCTGAATCATCCCAGTTTTACTTGAATATCATTTAGTGGGTATGACCCATTCTTTTGCCATAAACACTTAGTCTCCTTAGGCTTTGCATCCTATGATATATCATTCTTCTCCCCCCGCACCCCCCCCTCACACTTTTTCCCTCCATATTACCCCCTCTTTCCTAATTTGGGCTGTCTTTTACATTTAATTATTGGGATATTTTTCTAGCTTCCTGGCTTCTGAACTTCAGCAAATTTCAGAATTTCTCCTTTCAGTATAGTAATTCCTAGAGAGACTTAACCCACGAAATTATGGGTGATTTATATTCTGGTTCAGGTGTTTGGCATTAATCCTTTGACTGACGTCTCTCAAGTCTTAATATACTTACTATTACTGAACTCTATCTGATTTGAAAGTGCATCTCACTAGATATTTTACCAGTGAAGAATCTTGTCTTTTAAAAAACTGTTACTTTGAATGAAACACTAAATTGAAATCTTCCATTATTACATACATACCCTTCTTCTAACTCCTGCACTTCCGGAATAAAGCAATATTTACCTTAACTCTGTGGAACTTTCTCATGTTTAAGATTTGCAAGGTCCTTCATACTTTGATAAACTTGTGCTTAGATATAGACTGTTTTCCTGGGGTCCTGGCATCTAATGATGTTAAAAGTCTCCTTGTAATTCCCCAC